CCATCAATGACTGCCTCAATGTCAATCATTCTGTTATTTGAAAAAAGTACATTAACTTGAAAATCATCCATAAAAAAGAAAGCTAAACCTCCGCTGAGTCCAAGTGGCTCAACGGTAAACAAACGATCAAATCCTAAGTCGGCCTGAATGTCTTGCAACAGCAGCCTCCTATTCTTCGTCTCTGAAAGAAACACAAATCCTGGGCGATGCTTCTCCGTAAGGCGTCGAACTGTGAGGTCGTTTCCAATCCCTCGACAGTTCCAACTGATTGTCCTCATTGACGATGGGGGGATGGGTTTTTGGATCCCATCGAACCACCTTCTTTGTTTGATCTCGAACGTACCTTCTTAGAATTTGACACAGCATGTCTGGATCGCTCGTTCTCAGTAGGCAACCGCCGAGTAGAGGAGATTGTCGATCTCAGACGGGGAGAACCTCGACGGAGGAACCCTTGCTTTTTATTTTGGATACCCATCGAGGCGTTCCTTCTACTTCCATTCCTCACGCTTCTAGAAGTCCTTGTAGACAGATGAGAACTCGTTGATGCTTTTACTGATGTTGTTGCTTCAAAATCTACAAGTTCCTCACTTAGAAGATCATCTTCATCCATTAGCGTTGCATCATACTCAGCCACTTCTTGTTCCATTCCACTTAAAGCTTCAATAACCTGCTCATCTTGTACATCATTCTCCGCAGCTCTTGGTGAAAAAGTAAGAGAACGTGTGACACTCTTGCTGCGGATAGTCACATTCTCTTCCATTGATTGGATTCGAAGCTCTGGAGAAACTATTGTACTAGCCACTTTCTTCCTCTCTTGATGTCGAACTATTTCTTTTCCATCATCGTTGTGACCGTAGGAGTCACCATTGTTTAGAGAAGTTGGTATCTCATGTTCCTTTGCTGATGAAGCTCGTGCTTGTTCATAAGGAACAATTGCACCAGATGATCGAGAACCATCCTTTCCGCGTTCAACATAAACTTCCTTCTTATCCTTTTTCTTTTCACGCCAATGTTGATCTCTTGTACGATCATATGGCTTGTACGCATGGCGAGAAAAGTTTTCTTTTAGCTTAGCTCCGTCCCTCCTAATGATTTGATCAGAGTGGCTAGAGAACCCTTGTGAAACACCTCTGTATCGCGCATGATAATTGTTGTCCGCATGATGGCTTGTAACGTTTCCAGACCGTGAACCTACCATACTAGTTGCTGGCTTCTTGCGCCTGCTAGGGTATTGTCCATCCACGGAAGCTGAACTTTTGTAATCCTGCCGATGAGTTGACTGATCATGCAGCAAAGGCTGATGATCATTATCGGGATGTGGCAGCTGAACGCGAGTGAAGACATCCCCTTTCTCCGGTTGGACTGAAGTAGGACAATAGCCTTTCTCGTGTGACATTAACCCGCAAATTGTACAATGCTTGAATAGTGCATCGTACTTAATTTCTATAGTGACCTCATCGCCCGCCGGGCTTTGCACCTTCCGCTTGAACTTCAAAGGTCGCCGAGATTCAATGTGAATGAGTAATCGGCCCTCCGAAAGGTCAACGGTATCAACTTCGCCTAACCTACCCCCAATGTTCCTCAGATTTTTATCAGTCCACAGATGCAATGGCATTCCAATGAAAGTGATCCAGAAGGGAATAATCCAGGGGTAGTCATCGTGAACAATAGGCTCCCAACGCACCAGCACAAACATACAATAGTTGAAGTGAAAGGGACCCTGACGGAGTACACCATTAAGGTCTTCTTCGGTGGTAAAATTTAGCAGGAACTTGCCATTACCCAAGTCATTAGCCGTAATCTTATCCTGAACACCCCACTGCTGTGGCATCTTTTGAATAAGCTTCTCTACGCTCTGCTTCTTAAGGTTAAGTATCTTTCCGATTAGAGATAATCGAAACTCCTTGATGACAAAGGCATCATCTTGCTCTGTGAGCTTTATTGGCTCATCATCATCATCAAATAAGATTGATTTTCCTTTTAAGTCAGCCATATGAGCTGATCTCGACCGGTTAAAGGATCCCATATTTTGATATCCGGTTAGAGCACCACAAAACAAAGAATCCAGAGATGCAGGGAAAAATCAGAGCCCGTACTCTGTTTTTTAGTAAGAAAAAAACAGAGCGTGTAGAACCAGTATGTGAATCAAAGGATCCTAGTCATTGAGATTTGGTGAAACTTAGGATCTGTAGATTAATAAACAACGAGATGTCTTGTGACTCGATCGAGAGACGTCGTACACACCAAAGAGTGATGAAGACGTAATCGATCCGATGTGAAGAGCTATGGAAAGGAACTGTTCTGTAGCCTTCCACACGTCAATGGACGTGATGATGAGGAAGAGAACGAGATTTCAAGGGAAATCGTCGTTGTTGAACACCGTAGCAAAAATCTCCATCTGGTCGCCTATCTCCTTGAAAAACCCTAGCGCCGCTCTCTTTCTCTCTCTTCCTGGTGTGTTTTAGTTAAAATTTAAAAAAAAAAAAAAAAAACCTTTTTGTTTAAGAGAAGCTCGTTAGGTTAAGGGTACATTAAGATTAAAATCATAAACTTTCCCTTCTTTTATTATAAAAGGGGGCCTATTTCTCTTTTCTCATCGAAAAGAAACAAAGAAAAGCCCTGCAAAGATCCTGAGCTAGTAGCCGTCACAACAAGATCTGAGTCGCCAGCCGCCACAACAAGATCTGAGTCGCCAGCCGCCACCTCCAACAACCACCATTGCTAGGGCCGTCTGAGAGGGGGGGCAAACCGTGCGACCGTCCCGGGCCCAAATCCGTGTCTCCCCGTATTTTAACAATCAAGGGCCTAATATTTTTTTATATTTACATATTTTTATATAAAAATTTTAAAATATTTACTAAATTTAGTTGAAAAATGGTCCAAAAATATTTTATGAGTATATAATATATTTTTATCCCATATTTTATATAGATTATTGATAAAAAAATATTTTAAATTTTTAATAAAAATAAATATTAAGAATTTAATTTGTTTTTGTCCCGAACCCAAAAAAATGTTGAGCCGGCCCTAACCACTGCCACCGCTACCATCTTGTGTTCTCCTTTTCCGTCTTTTGTTTTAATTCGTGTTTTGATACATGATGTCGAGTAAGGCTAAAATGAGGACCCGATTATGAACTATTTCCACGTCCTGTATTACATACGGGAGTTAGTCCTTCATTAATATCGTTTAGATCTAGTTGTTGATGTGATGAAAGAATGTTGATTGTATTGATGTGATGAAAAAAATATTGATTGAGATGAGGCCATGTGTAGTAAGATCTATGGATGTTGTGTTCGGTGGTTTTGTGACACCGAGAAACAGTGTGGTCAGGTATGGAGGCCATAGTAAAGAAGGGTTGGTTAGAGGCGTTGGTATATGCATAAATGACTATATGTACTGTAAGGAGGACAGTTTGCAGGGTATGTGCTAAAGGGCCACAGGGCGGTGTAGTCACATAGGAGCTGCGGAATCATAGCTTGGTTTGGCGCCCACACAACAATGCCAGGATGGGGTGGGTCCTTTGTGAGTGAACACTAGGTCTTAGAGTTCTTGGTTATTTTTTTATTGTTGCATGCTAGGTATAATTAGCTTATGACTTGTGTTTCTTGTATTATGTATTTTGAGGTGAGTTCGTAGGTACCTAAAACATACTTTCACTAAGATCTGAGTAATTTAAATTACTCATGCCTTCTTTTGCATATTTGTTCGAGAAGTTGGAGGGGTATATAAATCTTTGTGTGATGCGAAGTAAGATCTTTGGGACCATTGACGGAACAAAGTGGCTTATCTTGTGGCATAGACATGTATCCCTAACCCTGCGCTCTAGACCTATTCAGGAAAGTCGATGTTATATTTTTCATCTCTGGAGTTTACAAAAAAATTCAAGGGGCATTTTTGATAAAGCACCAAAAATCTAGTCATGTCTAATAAATGAAATTAATAACCCCTCCCCTCTATCCCAACCTAATAAAATCATAGAAAATTTGTTTTTTAGGAAAAAAACACACATACATCGTCCCATTATGATAATATCATTAATTTATAATTTCCCATTAGGATAAAGCCTCCCGGTTTCCCCATTAAACCCAAAAATTAAATTAATTTACATTTTAAAATGGATTAACTAAGAAAACTAGATATTTTAAAAACAAAAAAAAAATAAACAAAAGGAATGAAACTAAAGAAAAAAGGGGAAAAGAATATTTGAAAATGTAAACAAAATATAAAACTAATTAACAGTCACATATTCAATTTTTTTTTTTAATATGAAAACAAAATATTTGAAAATATTTTCATAATTTTACTTCTTATTTTTTTTTTTTGCAATTGTTCATAATTATCTGTAGAGTAGACATTCTACTACTATATCTAGAATAACGTTAACATGTTTTGAACTTTAATTATTTCAACAAATATTAGATTTTAAGTTGATTTGTAGATTGTTTATTCTAAAACATTTAGTGTGATAAATTAAGCGCAAAACGTAGATTCCAAATATATTTAGATAATTTTATTTAGGCAAATTACTTATTCTAAGCAAAGTAGATTTGTTGTTAAAACAAGGTAGATCCAATAAAAAATTAAAACATGGATTTTGATTTCCACTAACCCAGTTTTTGTAGAACATAAAATCTGCACTCCATAAACAAATTTATTTAACAAATTTTTGAACCAAAAAAAAAACACTATATTGATATGTTTCTTCATATGTTCCTATTTTTTTCATAATTGTTTTGGTTAGTGTAACTACCTATTTTGATTTATTTTGATATATAAAAGGATATTAAAGGAAAAAAAATGGTACAAAATCGCTTTTATAGACAATGTATATGTTTCTAGCCTGAAAAACAACTTCCCGTAAAATCATTTTAAAACAGCCGTCGGCAATCTCTTCAACATCCTGAATTCAAGCAACATCTACTAGGTGTTCGATTTCATTGTGTTTAATGGCCTACACGTTTTGAGCATTCAGAATTGAAAAACCAAAAGGTTAAATACCTGTATACCAATCACATGCCTAGAGATTCCAATGTACAATATAACTCGTGGTGGATCTTTAGATTCTTGGTCTTTAAACTTGTGCAGGTGTTACATATTATTTTTTCTCATTTGTCTTCAATAAAAATCTTGTTTATAAAGTCTCTAAACCTTTTCGAATAAAGCTTGGGATCGACAGCTGATATAGAAGTGGGATCTGCATGGAGTGATTTGTAGGCGTGTTCTAACTTTTTGGTGATATCATAGTCTTGAAGAATATCAATTATACCGAAGTAAAGGATCACGTCAATAACCTCCTTCCTTGCATTCTTTGGATTCGAGTTGTTAATGCTGCCATCTTCCCATGATTCTTCCTCAAATCTGCTCACCTGCTCTGCTTTTGCGGGTGTACTTTCCCCAAGTCTAATTAATGGTCCATTACTGCATTATCAATGCAAGACAAATATTATTAAAGAGGCATATATAATTTATTGTTAACAATTTTCATTACGCAGGTTTGAGCCCAAGTAGTAGTAACACTTTGACGACACAGCGAAACTAGCACAAACTACTATCAACAAGTCCTATTTTTGTATCTTTTATTAAGTATGTTTTATAGTTATGTATCCAAAATAAATTGGTAAGAGAAGGTACCAAGTCTGCGTGACAGAGTCCATATTCGGAAGCGAATTATATCCTCTCATTAATTTGTCTTCTTGATCTCTTCGACCTAAATAAATTAAGTAACTAATTTCTTAGTTAACAGAAGAAGAGTACAATAGAAAAAAAAATACAAATGAAAGGAATGGATGAATGATTTATACCTATCCCCAAAGAAATATCGTCACGCAAGCAAGATTCCCGGAAATGGAGACCAATTAAGAGACTATAATCCATAATCCGCTCAGCTTCAAGAAACTCACAGTCGATGTCGATTTGGTTGATAAAGGCATGAAACCATGAGGTCTCGAGTCGAAACACATACTTGAGATCCAAGTCTTTGAGTGTTGTGGTCTCGTCAATTTCACCTTCATCCTTGTCAATCGTACGGCCATGCGACGAACCTTTCAGGTCAAACCTTTTGTGTATACGATACTCCGAACAAAATAGATTGCCCATAACTATGAATCGAGTCTGTTATATATTTATTTACTTTTGTCAAAAGGCAAGAAGTAGGTTTATTTGATCTCATCAACAAATATGTTACAAAAGAACATTTCCCATACCTTTTGGCCTCCTACTGGTTTGACACAATGGACGCCAAAAAACTTGGTGACCAATGAGTTCTTGTACTTCGAGACATGCTCATAATAATTTGGTAGCATCTTAAGCAACACCTAAGGATGGTTTACAAAGCTCATGTCATATTTTATTATGGACAGCTATGTGAAAGCAAAAATGATATTAGTTACTTTTATTTCAGATTTCTTCATGGTTTTGATCATGAATCTTTCGTCTTGAGTCAGGTAAAAAGAGCTTCCACTCTTTCCAGGAGAAGAAAATTCCCGAAGAGATTCGTCTCCGCAAATAGCGAGCATGTAATCCGCTGGATCTATAGTAAATAACTCTCTTAGATGCCTGTTTTCACCACATAAACGAACAATGCGACCATATTAGATAAAATTAATCTTTTTAAAACTCTTTTTTTATTTTGAAAGTCCCCCCAATTCCTATTATATTTCGGTACCTAAACACAATAGGGCAATAGTCTTTCCATTTAAAATCGATTGATTGATGGGGAGGTGTAGACTTAGATCCTTCAGGCGGAAACCTGGTCCATTGTTTATCCTTGGGATCAAAATCACATTGCCTAAGTTCCCTCAAAACCGAACCATGTTTGCCAACAGAATATCTAATGCCAAGCTGTAGATTCAACATCAAATCGTAGTTCTTATGTCCGGCAGTAACTGTATACCCCGGTTTCTTAACATCCCCTTCATCCAGCCATCTCGGACTTTGCTGCGAACTCATGGCACCACCACTCTCCAAAAGCAAAGGGCTTCTTGCCCACTCATACTCTCCACAACCACTCACGTTATCACCTGTATCTGACTCACTCGTGTATGGACTCAGCATCGACCCTGCCTCTACATTATCACACGCGTTTGAATCCTCCAGTTCTGAAATACAAATCCGCGGAAAGTTTGTATTCTTTGACAAAGTTTCTACCGAAGAGAGTTTTTGCTGCACAATCTCATCATCTTTCTTTTTGTTCTTCCTACCCCACCCACCAAACTGATTATTACTCGTCTTCTCCTCGCTCCAACTCAAAACACCTTTTCCAACCGGAGCTCCGTTTTCCCATAGCCCTTCGTAACGGTTTCCGTTAGCCCAAGTCATGGTCCCTTTCCCAGAGATAACACCGTTCTTCCACTCTCCAACATACTCATTCCCATCGCTCCACACATAACGTCCGTTACCGTCTTGCAGATTAGCCTTCCAGTTCCCTTGATATACATCACCGTTTGCGTACCTCTTCTCTCCATAGCCATGCTTTCTCCCCCAAAGCCAGTGCCCTCTGTAAGTGTCACCGTCGATTCCGATGAACGTTCCCTCACCGTCCATTCGACCATCCTTGAACTGACCCTCGTAGGTAGCTCCAGATGGCCAAGAAAAACGCCCTTTTCCACTCGCTTTGCCACGTGTCCATTCCCCTTCGTACATGCACCCATCCGACCACAAATATTTCCCTGTCCCGTGAGGCACCCCTGCCGATAAGCCTCCATTGTAAAGGTCACCGTTCTTCAAAACTTTCTCTACTATTCTAATCTCAGCCGTCGCGTCACTCAGCTCGCAGTTTGTTGTGGGGACTACGCGACGGGAGCTCTGTTTATATTTGGTGGCCCCGCCACTACGCCCCCCTGAGGATTGCCCCTTGTTTAGATTCTCCTCACTGAAGAGGAAGACTGCCTCTTGCATTTTTTTGTTTATATGTTACTTTACTTACTCTACTCCCGCCGGGTACAAAGCGCCAAACTCATCAACTCTGACATTTCCCGTAAATTTTTTTCCTGACTTGTTTGTTTCTTCAAATAAAACATTCAGCGTTGAAACCTTTTTGTTCTGTATTTGTAAATGTAAAAAGTGATCAATGACCGCAAAAATCTAAAATCTGAATGGATTTCTTGTAACTTATAGCACATCAATATATTGCATAAAAAAAGAAGGTTCATTTGCCAAATAGCCGAAAATAAAAAATTAAATTTGTAGAGAGAAGGTAGTTAGTATATTTGTGATTTTTTGTTTGTATATTTGACCAAATTTCCCCAAAAATAATAAAATGAACAAATAAAATAAAAAACATCTCTTCATTCATGTTCATTATAATTTAGAAAAGAAAATGATATATTCAACTTCTATTGTCATCTCAAAATATAGAATCGATTCAATCAGAAAATCAGAAAAGAGAATCGATCTTCATTTATATTGTAATATGATTACTTTGCTATCTTCGATTGGTAAATGATTTAGAGAATAGGTCTTATTCCTTAGCCCATTGATAGATTGGATTCGTTGACTAAAAAGGAAGAAAAGATCAGATGGACTCATCGAGAGGTTATGAATGTTACTCGTAAATGAGCACCAAAAGATCTAAGAAAATTAATAAAAGTAAAATGATTACCTGAATAGGAGAAGAGAAAATGATATATGATCACCCGACATGAAAAGTAGTCCAGAAAAGAAGGTTTGATGGAAATGACGACCCAAATTTCGTAAACTTGAAACAGAGAATGAAGATCGAAGGAAGGAATTCTCAGGAAAACTAACAAAAGTAAAATGCTTACCAGGTACAAAAAAATATCAGAAAAACTAGGAATGGTGAAACTGTCTTACAAGGGGATAAAAGATTAGCTTAATGATGAAAAAGTGGTCATTAGATGTGTTTCTGCTAAGATGTTTGATTATTATGTAGCCGGCAACAAGACTACGTGCTGGCCTCTATCATATGATCTTTCAAAATCATACAATATTTTCCTATTTTCCTGTTTTCTAAATCACTAAATTATTTCTGTTTGATGACAACAACAAAATAAAATGATTGCGTTTTTATTATTAGGCTTCGAGAAGATTTAGTACATATTTGAATATAATATAAGAATATGCGTTGCTTTAGGTGGAGCCAATCGACAAGTCTGTAGCGATATAAACAATATTTTTGAACGTGCTTCAAGCCTACAATCTTGGTCTTACATCATGTGCCACAAGTCAGATTTTTTTATTACTCTCCTCTCCGCTGGGTCACAACTTATAACGGTTTTATCCTTAAGATCTTACTTTCAATAATAACAACACTTTAATCTAATACTTATTTTATTTCAATCTTCATCGTTTTACAAGTAACTAAATTCAATGAAAACTGAATAACATAATAATAGTTTAGGAAAATGTAGTAAAACTCTTAAAAACAAAAATGCAATAAATGGCACTATCCCGACTTCTATTCTTGTCCTTCGTCGATCATACCTGCAAGAAAGAGAGTGAGTAATAGAAATTATTCAAAGAGGGTAGGTTCTAAGAACCTACGAACTCATCTCAGGTCCATAACACATCAATCACAAGTCATAAGTTAATATCACCTAGCATTCATCTAACAAGATTCTCTGGACTCTCTCATCCACGAGTTCCCCAAGCTAATCACCAGTACACCTCATGGCCTTACACGGCTTCACCATTTTCCGTCAACCCGGTACTTGCAAAAACGACACTCGCTAAACCGACACACGCCAAACCGACCAACCCAACACTCGCTAAATCGACACACGCCAAACTTGCATTCGCCTAACCGACACTCATCAAACCGACACACACCAAACTAGCACTCGCCAAACCGAAACACGCCAAACCGACACTTACCAAACCGGCACTTCATCACACTACGATACAACCTAGCGTCTTATCCATGGCGTCATAACACCATAATCTTATCAGCACTCAATCTCAGCCAGATTCACCCTTATCATCATTCACCCTTATTAACATTCATCATAATTCATTCCGTGCTACCACAACTAGTTATCCTTTAACAACCTAACATGTTCTAGATTCTTTTACTCACATCAACAATCAACATACTTTTCATCACATCAACGCAAACCAACAACTAGATCTAGGTCAACATTAACAAAAGACTAACTCCCCAAGGTATTATACAGCATGAGAGACATTCACGACCGAGTCCTCACCTTAGCGTTACTTGACATCATAGATCCGGATCTAGAAGCAGAAGAAGAATACTGAACAACACAACCACATATCTCTACTCCCACACTCAACATAAGATGAGAAGAGAGTTTAGGAACCAGATCTATCACACCCAGTGATAAATAATTGAAAGGATGGAGAAGGAGAATAAATTGTAGGCTTATCTTACCGATCTGATAACAACACAAGATAAGAACAACAAAGGACACAGACAACAACGGTGGCGGAGACTCGCCAACAGTGGTGGTCGCTGGAGTTGGCAGCGGTGGCTAGGGTTCAGATTGCTTGACGGCTGATGGCTCGGGCCTCTGCAGGACTTTGCTTCTATTCCTCTGCAGGAAAATAAAAAGGAGACACCTTTTCTATTAAAACAAAAAAAGAGAACCCTAAGGTTTCTCATTTTTGGACCTTTGGAAAATGAACTTCCCTTAGGAAAATAGAGAAAATTTTATGGACTGTATATTGGGATGTTACACAACTCATAACTCACAAGTCATATCACATAACCACAATTAGTTTGACTATAGTTTTCGTAAATTCAAAACTGGAAACTAGACCAATAATTTGGGTTTTTGGTTAAGTTCAGCTTGAGATTTTCAGGGTTAAAAAGATAAGCCTCTAAATCTAAATTATTGTGGTTTAGTTTTACTTGAACTCTCTTGGGTTATAAACAAAAACTCTACAAAAGAAAAAGTAGTTCTTTTTTTTATGGGAAGTTAACTCAAACAATATGAATTTTATTACTTATTGTGAAAACCATACAAAACTTTTTTTTATTACTACATTTTTTTAATACCCAGAGTGCCTATTTTTTACGTTGTGAGAAAAAACATATTTACAATAATGCTATTACTTTTTACTGCCATGTAGGCAAAAATTCGCCTCCACGTAAGAATGTGGCATGAAACTCAGCCGTAATAAGAGGCGAATTTCGTTATGGCCGAGTTATAGTTATGTTGCAGCTGACTGAAACCTTCGGCGAAATATCCCCACTATTCGTTTGGCCATCACTCCACCAGCCTGCACTCGTCAAGACTTTGAGATCAAGCAAGCCTTGATCACCCTAATGCAGAGGAAGACATTTCAAGGTCTCCCAGCAGAGATCCCTATGGAGAACATTGAGAGCTTTGAGAAAGTGTGCAGTTTCACGTGTGCCAATAGAGTACCACCTGATTACATTAAGTGCACACTTTTCCCATTATCTCTTGATGGAAAAGAAGCTAGGTGGATCAATTTTCACCCTACTGGCTCTCTTACTTCGTGGGAACATGTCAGATCGGCGTTCCTAAGTCATTTCTACACGAAATCAAAGATACCCACTTTGAGGAACAATATTTGCTCATTCAAACAACTGACTGATGAACCCTTTCTGCGACGCATGGGACCGCTTCAATGATTAACGCAGAGAGTGCCCTCATCATGGCTTTAAGGATGACTACCTTCTAGGCATTTTCTATGATGGAGTTGATTAGGGAATTTTGGAATGCTCCAAATTCTGCGAGCAATGGAGATTTCATGACCCAAACAACTGATGGAGCATTTGCACTGATAGGGAACATGGCATCCAGTTCGTACAACAAAAATCCAGAAACTGCCCGCTCCAAAAAGGTGAACAGCATTGACGCTCAAAACATTGATGAGCTGACAACTAATGTTAATCAGCTGCTTAAGAACAACCAAAGGAAAGTCTACATCATGGAGGAGGCTACGACTGAGCAGATTAAGAACACTCAAGAGGTTGCTCCCGAGGCTGAAAAGAGAGGGAATGATCAGGAAGAGATCAGCTACATCAACGGACAGGGGTATATGCAGAAAAACCAGGCACAAGGTACAAGGTATCAGCAAGGCTTCCCTCGGAAATTTCAGGGTAAAACATTTATTTTCAGTCATGCAGATAACCGGTTCGTGGGTCAATATCAGAATCAGCACCAGAGGGAAGTTCATTTGCCAAAGGTCCAAAAAGACTATGAGATGCTCATGATCCTTGGGAGATCATTTATGGCTAAAGTGGGAGCAATCATTGATATGCCTAATAAGAAAGTCTCCTTCTCCAACATCAACAAGGAGGTTTTATACAAGACTACCCTCACCAGATTTCTAACATTACACGTCTCTTGCATCTCAGTGATTTGTGTAGAACAGCTGAAAATTGTTACTAAGAAGGAGCTTGGTGAAAAGATTGAGATCAAAGAAGTCCTGGATGGAGATCCTCACACTGATACCAACAAATTCAGTGGGAATGCAAGGATAAAAGAAAAAGTCCAGAAGATGGTCCTACAATGACTTTGATACCTCGCATGTGTGATGAGAACTCCATCGAGTATAAGGTAAAGTGCAAAGGTAAAGTCAGAGCCATTCTCACACGTGAGCTGAAGAAGAAAGGGGAAGCTGCTGTAAAAGGGTTGTTGAGCAGAGTATATAATCTGAACATGTCTGATTGTGGAGGTTGTTTTGCAACAAGCGCTCATGCTCAACCCGACTGAGCCCTATCACAAAGTCAAGCTAGTGACTTAAACCAAGCGCTTGGTGGAAGGCAACCCACTTGTAAATGTAAATATCATTAGGATTTTCTTTTTGCTTATTTTTTGTTTTAGTTTCATGAGTCTTAAGTAAAAAAAACAGAAAATCCCGAGATGCTTGACGAGAGCAGCCACCAGGTTTTTTCCGCTTCAGAGTAGTTGCTCCGCTCAGATAAGTATCTCGATCACAAATATTTA